TGTTTGGAATTTGTGTGGATTAACCAACAGATTTGCCCCATGTGATAACGTCCTCTGAGTGTTAGTTCTAGCTTTAAAGGAACTATTCAAGGTGCTGGGCCTATTTTGAAGATTAAATTTGGCAGCTTGGATATGTCCTTTAAAGTTCAGTTTAAAATCTGGAACATTTTACTGACATGGAAGCCACTGGTCACCACTGTTCCCCCTCCCCTTCAGTTTCTTGAGAGGTATAAAATCCAGCGTAACCTAAAATCCATGGAAACTGGTGACCACTGTCCCCCTGTCCTACCCATTTTCCTGAGGCAATATTAGGCTGTTGTAGCAAAAACAAGAATGTAATGGCAACTTGATCACTAACAGATTGAATATGGCATAAATGCTAATCTGTGCAAACTCGTGTCATGATAAATTGATTAAGCTTAAATCCAACTGCTATTCCAAACTAGATCAGGCACTTGAATCAATTGCTCAATAAATCAACATTTATATACATTCCACTGATTCGGTAGGTCTTCTCTAGCTGGGATTAGCAACAGGATTTAGGCCTTAGTCTTCAATATGCCACATAGTTTGTTATTGTTATTTTTGTTTTGTTTTCATATTGGGATGCTAAATGTAAAGTATCTGATTTGCTCCAGAATCTCAGGGAGCACCCCTGAAACCTCCAATAGTTGTAATGTGCCCTCTTGTTGTCAAGAATATGTTGATTTATCTGACAGAGGGAATGTGTACGCACTGTGACTTAAACTAGTTTTAAATTGGATTGACAGCACTCTCCCATTGAGCTTGGGCAATTTTTCTTTTGAGAGAATCATGCAGCTTCTTTGCTGAGCATTGCTAAGAATTTGCTTTATACTAGGGTATGTTATTTGTCCTTCTACTACAGTTTTGTCTGCTAAACCAGCAATTCTCCACCATCTCAAACAGAAGACTTTTCTTTCACTTTCTCCTTATGCCCCCTTTAACCAAAAATGCAAGGGGTTGAACTTGGGAGCTTCTGCATGCAAAACACATGCTCTACCACTGAGCTGCAGGCCAAACTATGGACGTTATCACACCCGGGTCTCAAAGCGGCAAGAAAGCGGTATGGAATCAATCCAGAACTA